TGGCGGGTTGGCCGAATAGGGCTTGAGCTTGCACAATGTGCCCAGGAATCATGGGATGACTTGCGAAGGAACATGAGCGCCGTCCTCGACGAGCTGCCGACCTCTTATCAGGACACGATTGCAAGCATCACCAAGTTGCTTTTTGGCGAGTCCCGAAGACACATTATCCCAACAGGCAAGTCGTTCACCAAAGAAGACGTTGAAGCTCAACAGCCTGACACAGAGGATTACATCGATGTCAAAACGATGGCTCCTGGCACCTTTGCCGAGCCTCCTCGGGATGACCCTCCAAAACCGGCCGCCGGCGACGGCGAGCCCGCAACTTCCGGCACAGCATCGATCACAGTCCAAACAGCCGAGGTCTTGTTGAAGTCATGACCAAAAGCAGTGCCTGCCTCTGCATCCGCAGCCGCGCCTGCAGACGACACAGGAGCCACTTCCAGCCAGTACCGGCCGCAGGCAACTGCGCGCTTAGAGGAACATGCATCAGGTTACGTGAAGGCATATTGGATGGAGGAGCACCTGCCCGAATACCAATATACAATGGTAACCAATGCAGACGGGGACGATGTACCCGGTATCCTTTTTGACGGTACGGCATATGAATTGGAACTGCTATCGGCATCCGACGTGGAAACCATCGCCAGCCAGACTCGTGTCGACAAAAAGTTTTCTGACTTTGCGACCCGTGTCAATAAAGTTTGCAGGGGGCATGGATCCTGCGCCAAGGTACCCATGGACAAGGACCTTTGGATCGACTTGGAGGATTTTGCCAAAGCCTTCCGCAAGGAAGTGCCCCCAGACGTTTTCATCACCGTCGCAAACCTTTTTGGCACCGCAATGAAAATCGACAAGCATGGCAAGAGTAGGTTCCAATTCTTGTGTGCAAAGATTCCCGATTTTCCTGTCGACAATGGCTTAGGCATGGCATATTATCCCGTAAAAATCCGTGCAATCCAGGGTCATTCCGAAGCTGCCCTGAGGACCGCCGGGGGTCTTTATGCCAATTCAACCATGGTGTATTGCTCAGACAACGTCTCCCCCGAGCGAAAAGCCGCCTTCACTGGCGTGCCCATTTGTGCCATGACTGAGGTCCCTGATGTTGCATTCCATCGCACGATGAGGAGCAGCTGGAAGAGCATCGCACGGAACGGCCTGATCCCAGGCGGCGGTGACTCAGTCAACAGCGGCCGTGCCCACACCTACATGTCGGAGCACCGCATAGGCACAGATGGGTACCGATCTGGATTGAGAGCAAAATGTCCAGTTGAAGTCAAAATTGCAATGCGGCAAGCAGTAGAAGCTGGTGTCATCTTTAGTCGCACAGAAATGGATGGTATTTTGTGTTCAGAACGAATTCCACCCCAATTTCTGGTCAGCATCTCAGAGGATGGAAAGGTGCTTTGGTCCCGCGCCGAGAGCAATCTCGAGCTCAGCACTTGGACAAGCGCGGAAGCAACCTCATCACCGACATCCAGGAAAGTCCAACTGACTGCACGTGACGATGCCAATGACGACCCAATGGATGACACCAGCACGGGGCGACCCGATGCCAAATCTGCAGATGATGATGTCACCAACGACCGAATGCAAGTTGACCAGCCACCCGCGAGGGTGCGCCGTGTTTACGTTGCACCGAAGTACTGCGAACCTTTCACCGGCACATGCCCTTTGTGTCAGGTCGAGTACGTAAGTGGTCAGGTGACATGCACCACATGTGGATATGAGCCACTCCCAGTGGACGAAAGTGGCGAAACAAAAGGGTCTGACCAACCCAACAGGCGTACCCGGATCCTGGAGAAGCGCGTGCAAAAGCTTGCAGTTTGGGATGTACGGCAAGGTGAACAGCACCCTGTTGGCGACATTGACCAACGAACAGGCTGACCAGTTGCGGCGAGAAATGGGCTCAAGGGGGATTACATCCATTGAATCAGCAGTCATCAAAGACTGCCGCGACCGACACAAACGAGCAAAGGCACTTGGCTATGAGGACGTGGAAGACCGCTATGCAAGTGACGTTACGTTTTGTGACCGCGTTCATGGAGAGGGCAGGGGCTTAAGTGAATGTATTTTCGACGATATGTTTGCGTATGCCAATCTCCCAGATCCGCCCCGCACCAGAGCCCAGATCTCGGCTGGCGTCGCCGCCAATGCCCAACATGAAAATTGCCTGTCAAAGTTGATTTTTATGTCCCAACCTCGAGGTGTGGAAGGATTCCCCATTGAATTCCGTCAAACATGGAAGAAAGTTTGGGGTTTCATGTTCGGTCGCCACATTTTTACAGAAGATGAATATGTCAGCTACATCGGCCGTAGGGGCACATTTCGTGGCCTGCTGACCTGGAAGGGCACCGTCCAAGTTCCTGTCAATGGCACTCTTGATTTCCTCGAAAAGCTGTATGAGGAAAACCTCCCATTGGTTCGGGGCAACCTTGAACGCAAGGAGAAACAAAGTGCCGCAGCAAAGGCCGGAGGTCCTGGGGGTCACAAGGCCGACCCCACGGTCGCGCCCACTGCCGAGCGAAAACGCAAAGCTGAAGCCGACACATCTGCCACTGGACATGATGACACAGCCGCCGCAAGCTCCGCACACGCGGACGCCTCACACGTGGACGCCTCATTTGGTCCCGGATCAACACCATTCCTTGCACCAGAGCCACCAACACCCAAAGGAGGAGCAAGACCATTCTTGGAGCCTGAGACACCACCCACTGCCAAAGCAGCGAGTACCGTCACATCGAAGGCTGCAAGCTCCGGTCGCCCGGACGCCTCCTGGAGTTGGAATCGTGATCACTATGGTGCCCGCCGTGAATGGAGTTTCTGGCGTGGGGCGTGGTATTACCGTGATGAGGCCGGCGGCCGTTGGATCTATTGGAACCGCAGGTAGACGATGATTTTCTTTTGTAGCATAGCGCAAGATGCGGCATGGTAATGTGCCTTCCTTGCAAAGCTGCGCTGGGTTTTACGGGCTTGAGCTTTTTAGAGGGACCTTTGAAAGACTGCACAAAACTTGCAAAAGCCACTATAAACAAAATTGGCCACCCGCAAGGGTATGCTCATTCTGGTTATTCGTTCTCCGCAGTCGTACCTGCTCGCCCGAGGGGGGTGTAAAAACTCCTGCAGTAAAACCATGTATTGTATATGTCATCGATCTACTCTGTAGCGTTGGTTCAAAAGTGCTAGCAGCTTAGCGGATTTTACCCCATTGTTGGCTGACCTGGGTAAATACATATACACATGATATTGATTTTGCAGGTTTCCTATTTTGTAGAGAAAAATGGTGGAACATGTGTTTTCGACTTGTTTGAGGGCTTTCTTTATTCCAAGTAGCCATTCTGCTTACATGTGCGCTCATGCCAGGCTCCCCATTTTGTAGAGGCCAGTGGTTGTGAAAATCACAAACGTGCACCAAAAAAAGGGTTGGGTACCCTGATTTTGTAGAGAAGATGCCTTGCGACATTTGTGGCAGGTTCCTCATTCTGTAGAGGTCTGGGGCCCCAAAAGTCAGGTTTGGCTCTACAAAATGGGGACACACAACCCCCCCAGGTCATTTTTTGGGGGATCAAATTATATTGATTTTACAAAATCTGGAAATGTGGAACAGGAATTGCCTCTACAAAATGGTTTTTTGTACATTTCAGGGTTTTCATGTGAGACGGGGAGACCAAGGTTCTTTCACATCTTCCCTCTACAAAATGGGTCTTTGTATTTTTGAGGGTTTTCTTTCTTCCAAGTAGCAATTCTGCTTAAATGTGTGCTCATGGCCAGTGTTTCTGAAAATCATAAAAGTGCACCAAAAAACAGGGTTGGGCGCCCTGATTTTGTAGAGAAAAACACCCTTGCTAGATTTGTGGCAGGTTCCTCATTCTGTAGAGGTCCGTCAAGCCATTTTTTTGACAGCCTAAGTGCCTGCAAGGGTGTGCAAGGACAGGTTCCTGATTTTGTAGTGGGAGCATTTTGATGCATGTTGTAGATGGCTGAAACTGTAGGTTCCTCATTCTGTAGAGGTTTTGGGGTTTGTCAACATTCATGAGCATAAATATATACAAATTATATTGATTTTACAAAATCTGGAAATGTGGAACAGGAATTGCCTCTACAAAATGTTTTTTTGTACATTTCAGGGTTTTCATGTGAGACGGGGAGACCAAGGTTCTTTCACATCTTCCCTCTACAAAATGGGTCTTTGTATTTTTGAGGGTTTTCTTTCTTCCAAGTAGCAATTCTGCTTAAATGTGTGCTCATGCCAGGTTCCCCACTCTGTAGGGGCCAGTGTTTCTGAAAATCAGAAAAGTGCACCAAAAAACAGGGTTGGGCGCCCTGATTTTGTAGAGAAAAACCCCCTTGCTAGATTTGTGGCAGGTTCCTCATTCTGTAGAGGCCTGGGGCGCCAAAAGTCAGATTTGGCTCTACAAAATGGGGACACCCAACCCCCCCAGGTCTTTTTTTGGGGGTATAACTAAGTGCCCTTCAGAAGCGAACAGAAACACAAGATGCAGCTCCTTTTGTGGACTTCGCGATCTCCGTCGAAGGCATCGAAATTCAGGTCGTTCGTGCTCATGGTGAATGGGTACATCACGAAGTTCCTTCTGGCTCAGCCACCTTCACTCAGTGGAGGACGTCTGCTGAAGACATCGTTGCTAATGCTGGACGCCGTAGGCCTCGCTCCTACGAGCACACCGTGGAGAGGCTATCAAGGACCTTCCCAACCTGTTGGCACCTCATCTACAGTGCGGACGAAGTTGCAAGATCAGCTCAAGCCAACCGGACGAGGTCTCGAGTCTTGATGGACATCAACGCCGGACGTCAAGCACCAGAGGGCTTCGTGGCATCCAGGCCTTGGGACTATGTTTTCGGAGCCCTTGCACGAGACGAAGGTTTCTGGCAAATCCAGGTGACAGCACCAGCTTTGAAGTGGATCGCATCTGGCAGCCACGGTATGCCAAGGACACCTGGAGCAATGGAAATAGGGCTTGTGGTTCCTGGCCACCAGGCCAGAAATGCGTGGCACAAACACCGCGCTTGCACCGGTGTACAATATGCGACTCACAAGGGCACCCCAACAAGGACGGCAAAGAGGGACCAATGAAGGGGGAGTGTGGATTTTATTTTGGAACATAGATATCAATTTGTATCATACCCCTTGTAGACTTCAAGCATCCCGCTCGCATCTGCAGGTTGGCCGACGAAGCCCTTTTTGATCGAGAGCCGGTGATGAAAACCGGCGCAGGGCCAGTGGATTTTGGTCTTTGGTTTTTGGGGAACTTTGAGTTTGGGGAGAGTGGCCTCTTTGGTGTCATTGGAACCAGGATTGTGCATTCCCGAAATACGTAGTAAGCATTATGCGACTGCAGCGCTTGTCATGTGGAACTTATTTCTGGTGCGAGCCTTGCAGACTCCCTAGACTGTTCACTTGTCATTTGGGCGCAGACGGTTCTATGCCTAATGTGGGTTTGGGGTTACCTCTGTTTTTGGCGGCGATCGAACCTCATTTCATGCGAAAGGGTTGCACGGGACAAGTTGAAATCGCAATTTTACCTCAGTTTTTGGCGATCGAACCTCATTTCGTGCGAAAGGGTTGCTCGGGACAAGTTGAAATCGCAATTTTACTTCAGTTTTTGGCGATCGAACCTCATCGAACCTCATTTCGTGCGAAAGGGTTGCGCCGGACGACTTGAATCGCAATTTTACCTCATTTTTTGGCGATCGAACCTCATTTCGTGCGAAAAGGTTGCGCCGGACGGCTTGCAAATCGCAATTTTACCTCAGTTTTTGGCGATCGAACCTCATTTCGTGCGAAAGGGTTGCGTTTCGTGCCGTCTCGTTGGCACTGCCCCTGCCCCGCCTTCAAGAGAGAAATACGAAAGAAGGAGAGGGCAAGAGGGCAAGAGGGCAAGAGGAGAAGATGTGAAGATGTGAGGGCAAGAGGGCAAGAGGGCAAGAGGAGAAGATATGAAGATGTGAGGATGTGAAGATGTGAGGATGAGAAGATGTGAAGATGACCAGATGTGAAGTTGTGAAGATGTGAAGATGAGCAGATGTGAAGATGAGAAGATGTGAAGATGTGAAGATGTGAAGATGAGAAGATGTGAAGATGAGAAGATGTGAAGATGAGAAGATGTGAAGATGTGAGGATGTGAGGATGTGAAGATGTGAAGATGAGGATGTGAATATGTGAAGATGTGAAGATGTGAAGATGAGCAGATGAGAAGATGTGAAGATTTGAAGATGAGCAGATGAGAAGATGAGAAGGTGAGAAGATGTGAAGATGAGAAGATCTGAGGATGAGAGATGTGAAGATGTGAAGATGAGAAGATGTGAAGTGAAGATGAGAAGATCTGAGGATGAGAAGAGAAGATGTGAAGAGGAGAAGATGTGAGGATGAAAAAATGTGAAGATGAGAAGATGTGAAGATGAAAAGATGTGAGGATGAGAAGATGTGAAGATGAGAAGATGTGAAGATGAGATACAGACCCTCACTATTGGAAGAACCCTGCGCTCAGACGCTCTCGGGAAAAAAACCAAAATACACCAAGGGTTTCTGAAATTTATTTCATGTCTTGAGATCTTGAGAGGCACGGTGTCTCAGGAGACCAAGCGAACCGGTGAGCGCAGGCATTGCAAGTGGTGCGCAAAGTGAGCCCAACTTTGTGGGACTTTTTGACTTGATTCGTTCGACTCCACTTGCCAATTGCTTGAAAGATATCCGGTACGTCTCCAGAGTCTCTATCTGTTCGCTGCGCAACATGGACGACCCAGGTACAAGCCAGACAGATGTCATCATTGCAGGGTGTGTTGCGTTCTTAGATGTGCTCAGATATGGGGCTTTACGTGAAGACTCTCGGTTGCTCAGGCAAGACCTGCATCCTGAAGATGGATCATCATTGCCCATGGATCTACAATTGTGTCGGATTCAGGACTGGCCAGACTGCTCATATTTGCTCACAATTCCCAGACTTCATATTTTTTGGCCCTATCACAGTGTCGGTTCATGGCAGCATGACCTCAACGGCATTTTGAGTACATTTTCCTGAAAAAAGGTGGTCTTGAATTGTAAACACATGGCAGCTGTGTAGTTCTGGTAGCTTAGGTTGGTGTTTGCGTGAGTAGCATGGGTTGCTTTCAACCGGATGTGATTGGAGAAACAGGAGTGAAACACATGGGCAGGAATCACAAGTACTTCTTTCTCTTGCTTCTCTACTCTGCAGCAGCATGCAACTTCATTACCATCTCCATGATTCCGCTTGGGTCTCATCGTCATGGTATGAGCACATTAGCATGATCTCAGCTGTTCCAGATTTGGTACCCGGATTGTTTTTGTTCTGCAGTAGTCCAATCACTGCAAACTCAAACCTGAACATTCCTTGGGTCATATATTTTTACGTGGCCCGATTCTTGAGTTGATTTCAGGGCATTGCCTTCGACACATGGGTCGTTTGTTTCGAATCTGTATGGGCTGTCCCATTCGTCCTCTCAGTCCGGCTGTCCTGCTGAGAGTCTTTGAATCTAGATGGATTTTTTCAGTAACTGACTGTATACATATGTACATACAACATCATATAACGTATAACTGTGTTATATATACATATGCGCTGTACACATATTGTTTTGATGCATACACACCAAATATAATGTATGATATACACGCACACACGCATATATATATATATATGTATCATACAATATAAGTAACAGTAGTACTGCACAGGGCGGAAGTTTCAAAAATACGAAACCTATAGGAGAGGTTGGTTGTTGTGAATCACGGATGGCAGAGCGAATCCGCTGATGGACCGACAGGTGGTTGGAGTTGTGTTTTCTGGAATGGTTGGAATGGTTGGAGTGGCACCTTACCACAACTGCTGGATGTAGTGTGGTGTAGTGCAGTTGTAGTTGTAGTTGCAGTTGTAGCTATAGTTGTCGTGTAGTGTAGTGGAGCTGTAGCTGTAATGTAGTGTAATTAGTGTATTTGCAAGTGCAGTTGCAGTTGTAGTCGCGGTGTCGTGTAATTAGTGTAGTGCAGTGCAGCGTAATGTCGTGTAGTGTTGTGTAGTTTTGTGTAGTGTAGTGTGGTATGGTGTAGTGTAGTCTAGTAAAAAGTAGTGTAGTTGTAGCGTAGTGTAGTGTAGTTGTAGTGTAGTGTAGCGTAGTGAAGTGCAGCGAAGTGAAGTGTAGCGTAGTGTAGTGTAGTGTAATAGGTGTAGTGTAGTGTAGTGTAATGTAGTGGTAGTCGTACTTGCAGTTGTAGTTGCAGTTGCAGCTACAGTTGTAGTTGTAGTGTACTGCCATGTAATCAGTGCAGTGTAGTGTTGTGTAATCTGGTGTGGCTGTAGTTGCAGTTGTATTTGTAGTTGTTGTGTGCTGCAGTGTAATTAGTGTATTGTAGTGTAGCTGTAATTGTTTTTGTAGTTTTGGTAGTGGTGGTGGTGGTGGTAGTAGTAGTAGTAGTAGTTGTTGTTGCTGCTGCTGCTGCTGTTGGTGTTGTTGTTGTTGTTGGCAATGTAATTGGTGTAGTGTAGTGTAGTTAGATGTAATTAGTGTAGTGTAATGTAGCGTTGTATATTTGTATTTGTAGTTGTGGAAGTAGTGTTGTGTAGTGTAGTGGTAGTTGCAGTTGTTGTAATTGTAATTGTCTATCTATCTATCTACCTATCTATCAATCTATCAATCAATCAATCAATCAATCAATCTATCAATCAACCAATCAATCAATCAATCAATCTATCGATCTATCGATCTATCGATCGATCGATCTATCTATCTACCTATCTGTTTGTCTGCCTGCCTGCCTGTCTGCCTGTCTGCCTGTCGGCCTGTCGGCCTGTCTGCCTGTCTGCCTGTCTGCCTGTCTGCCTGTCTGCCTGCCTGCCTGCCTGCCTGTGTCTGTCTGTCTGTCTGCCTGTCTGCCTGCCTGCCTGCCTGCCTGTCTGTCTGTCTGTCTGTCTGTGTAACTGTAAGCTTCAAAACGCAGCAAGTCTGCGACACTTCCTCAATTTTTGAACTTGACAACATCAAAACATTGCTGACGCAAGTAGTGTCCAGCATTTTGCGCTACACTGGTTACACCGGTTACACCGTTACACTGGTTGCACCGGTTACACCGCATACAGCGGTTACACCGGTTACACCGCTACACAGGTTACACCGTTCAGCGCACCAGCGTAACAGCGTATCAGCCGCCTATCAGCGTATCAGCGTAACAGCGTATCAGCGTACCAGTGTAACAGCGTATCAGCGTAACAGCGTAACAGCGTACCAGCGTACCAGCATATCAGCGTACCAGCGTATCAGCGTATCAGGGTAACAGCGAAATAACAGCGTAACAGCGTACCACCCTTGCAAGGTAGTAACCTTTTCAGCTACTCAGCGTATCAGCGTATCAGCGTCGAACCGCGTCCGGACACGCATTGCCACCACTCTCCATCAAAAACGAAACAGTTCTGCGAGACTTCCTCATTTTTCGAAGTTGACAACATCAAAAACGGAAGAATTCTGCGAGACTTCCTTCAAAAATGAAAAGTTGAGTGCAGAGCTGACAGCCTCGTACCAATGCGTTTTGCGATTTTTCCACTTCACGTGTCTAAAGTATTGCGCCGGCCACGAAAAAGTGAGGCCAGGTCATACGAAGTGCTGCACCTGTCACGCAAAATCATCTTAGCAAACCTACAGATCTGATGCTCCAAAATGCAACCCCTCTCAGGAAATCAGCGCCTGGACCTCTTAGCATCTCTGATAAACATGTCTCTTGTACTGCGCCTGCCGCGGAAAATTCATCTTGGCAGATCCTTTTCAAATGTCCCACGCCTGCCATCGTTTTTGGAATGCTACAAAACCCTCACGTTTTGCTTTCTTTTGACAAGGTGCACAATCCCTTGCGTCTGTCAGGCGAAACGACATCTGAACCTCCAAAAGTGGCCCGAACATGTGGTGTTTTTAACATTTTGACTTCGAAATGTGCTTCGCGCCGCCACGGCCTGTACTGTTTCGACATACTTCCAAAAGTGCTCTGAACTCGTCAGTTCTTTACACTTTTGACTTCGAAATGTGCTTCGCGCCACAACGGCGTGCACTTTTTTGACATCTCAACTTCCAGAAGTGGTCCGGACCTGTTTGTACATTTTGACTTCGAAATGTGCTTCGCGCCACAACGGCGTGCAATTTTTCATCTCTCATCTGCCCAGCGGGCTCCGCACCCGCCGCTTTAGCGAGCCTACTTTTCGACCCTCCGGAGCCACAAATCATTGGAAAAACACAATGTTTCGCGACTTTCCTACCTTTTCGCGCACCTGGATCTTCTTTCTTCTGAGACTTTCCCTTTTTTGATCTTCTTTCTTCTCTTCTCTTCGCTGACTCTGCCCATCTCTGCTTTTCATCTGTCCATATTGTCGGAAGTTTGACTTCTAAACTTCCTTCGATGATATTATATCACATAATATCACATCAGCAGGCAGACTCAAACTTTTTCTTCGCTCCTTCTTGGCTTTTCCTGTGCCTACGTGGACTGATCAGCTGTTGTGCGTATATTTGTTTTCTTGAATGTGCTTTGGTTCTCAAACGATAAACTGATAAACCATATCACCTGCATGCATCGTCACCAAGTAGTTCAACAGTTTTATCTTTCAATGTTAATGACATAGCTTTTGCAATCTTTGGAACTCTTGTTCCAGTCGTAGAGCACATGCAAATCCATTTCGATGGACACTTTTGCTTGACAGACGCTGTGTTGACGTCAAAATTGTACCTCAGTAGCTTCACATGCAGGAAGGCAGACTTTGTGACTTCTGGATTTCACGTAGGCTTGTCTCCTAAGGACAGTTGAAAGTGCTGTGCAGCAGAACTCTGCTTTTGCCCAGATGCCTTCTTCCCAGATCGTAGTCGGTCACCTGTTGCTCCTGTCAAAGACATGACAAGGAGCTTGCAGAAGCTTGACCAAAGCGTTTGTTGGTCAAAATGCTTCTCACCCCCTTTATCAGCTCGGTGACAACACTTCCGTGAAGTCAAACATGTGAAACTCAGGTTTCTGGTTCTCTTCGCGGAAACACTGTCAGCCTTTTTGGGCATCCTGATACTTGGTACAAAGACTCTGCTCGTTTCGATTCAAATCCAGCGCCAACTTTTTCAATTCAAGCAGTGCCTGCTTTTCGTGTTGCATTTGAGACCACCTAAGGATCACCTTTTTCTTCCTCTTTCACATATGGCTGATGTTACAAGCACTGCACTTACGCATTGCTGCAGATGGGAGCTGCTTTCAAAATGAATTTTGGGAAATTTTGCTATCCGGCAAACTCTACATGGACTCAGGGTGTGCTGTAGGGAAATCGCAATTATGGAGAAGCGGCGGCAAAAAGCCTGTAGGTCGGCAGAACGGATTCGTTGTAGCTGACTCAATCAGTCGTCCCATCAATCCTCGAACCATTCAAACCCGAACAAGTTGAATTACACATTCACTCACCCACTTACTCAATCACTCACTGAATGATAGATAATCCCATCAAAACTTAGTCTCACTCACTTAGAAACCATTTGTACACTGAATCTGTCAAGGAATCAGTTCAGCCTCCATCACTCATCCATTGAATCATTTTCTCTGCCATGGGCTTTATTGTAGATTTCCATAGATTTCCTATTTCCTATCGTGTGGAAACTTCCAGATCTACTGTTGATTCATAAAACCCTCTTGGGCGCAGATGCTTGAACCCATATTATATCAGGATATATCAGCAATCATCTTTGACGTGAGACATAAGTCTTAAAAAATGGTAGCTTATGAAACATCATGGACGAAGGCCTAGTAGCACGGGCCTCACCCTAAGGCCATGACCACAATTGAGTTCTGCGAGAAGAACACAAAGCAGCAAAGTTGTGGCCTGAAAATCTGCGACAAGCGACGTGTTTGGAAGATTGGAATAGTTTTTGTCTGTCGAAACAGTCGTGATACGGCTGCTAAAGTGATGAGAGGAGGACTCCAAGGACGTAGATGCATCAACTCTCTTGACCGTGAAGTAGTTTTCTCCATCTGTAAGGCTATGGTAGCTCTGTTCATGATCGTGGGATCAACGGCAATGCGGAGCACTCAACAGCTTTTGGCGTTTGGTCAGTTCCCAGACAATCCAGCAAAGATTGCAATGCCCAGCATGAGCTAAAGTAGGAAGCGCCAGTTCTGTACTGCATTGCCGGCATTGCCCTTACTGTTCCTTTGCTGTGACCTCTTTTTGTTGCAAATGTTCAGATCCGAGCTGTCCTCGGGGACTGGATCCTGCTGTGGCTATTGCCCTCATCTTAGCTGGCATTTCACAGTGAGTAAACATCATTGCCCAGGTGAGAATGCACAAACCGCATAAACAGCGATATTCTGATTGACTTGATTTCACTAGCCCTCCAGCACAGTATCTGGAACTGGCTAAGAATATAGTTTTCCTTGCAGGCCAGTGTCACCTCCTACTGGCAATGGCACCAACTTTAGCGCAGTGGCCACAGTTATTCTCAGTATGTCTTTATATTTG